GCAGGGGCGGCGTCGCGACGCGCCAAACGCACCACCGGCGCCGCCGCAAACAAGGCAAATAAAACAACGACTTTAAAATGTAATACACATACAACTGTTTATTGAGACATATAAATCATCAGTCCTCTCAGAATTAATTGATAGACGATATACATCATAACAAGTCATCGAGTTCGAAGCTGGCAACTCCCGACCATTAATACAATACAGTAACAGTCATCGACGGCGACGGATTTGGATCACCGTGTGGCGGCTGGACTTGCCTGCGATGGCCGTCGCATAAACGACGACGTATATTCAAAATATACGACGTTTTCTAAACGCCGGCCCATCGCAAGCACCACATACAATCAGCTGGTTGGAGTAGTTGTAGTGAATGGCAATTTGTGTTACTAGTGATAGAATGTATATAATTCTAATACAGTATAATGTCAATTGATTAGCTACATCACACTAAAGATTAAAAGGACAGATCAACTTTGTTACAGTGTACTGAAAGGGACATGCCGGGGAAGCAAAAAGCAAATCATCAATAAAAATAATCGATACAATTATTGTTAAATAAAAAAATCATTAACCATGATATTGAGCCTAACATTGCAATTGAGTGTTTTAGCTGTAATATTTCTGTCTGGAGCTGAACTGTAATTGTTAATCCGGTGCCGGAAACAGAAGTATATGCTTTTAAACTCCTTAAATTACTGCTAAAATACATCACAATGCAAAAATGCATTTGCAGGAATAAAATATATAATTATATTATACATATAATAAAACTCACTCGTTTCATGAGCAACGGTCTTAGTCAGGACACTGCATGAACCGAGTGCAGTCCCTCCATGCCCTGCCCGATCGGTGTAACGGCCACCGATCGCGCTAAACAGTGCCAAACCCATGCTTCCATACAGTCAGTGTTTCAATAAAACAGCCAACAGACGAATTTATTAAATTTACAAAACCACGATTATAACCGAATCTATGCAGTGATGTGACACCTGGGATGTCGGGTTGCAATTAAGTAATA